CCTAATTATTTGTCTAGTTATTTTCCTTCTCAGTAGATACAGCCTTTGAGAAACTTAAACAGGCCATTTATAGGAAATTATAGCTGGTATAAAGACTCTCTATCTTCCCCTAACTAAATGACATTTGATATTGAGCTCATTAGAAGTGCCACTGATGACACAAAATATTTCCCAAACTCTAGCCAATGAATGAAGCCCCACAGATACAGTTTGGCCTTCTTTGAAAAGCCAGTGCTGAATTTTTTTCAGTTTACCCAACTTTCAATAACAGTTTCAGGCATTGGTTTCAGCACCAAATCAAAACTGGCTACATCTGTAACACACCCATGTTGGCAGATAAACAGCTTACTCTGCAATATTTTGTTTCAAATAATAATAGAAGTGAATTCTTGGAAAGATAGATAATTCATATGAATCAACAACAATATTTGTCTGGGCGTTGTTACTCTTGAAAAACGTGGTTGCTCTTTCTGCATTGTGAAAGTCATATAGCATTACATAGACAAGATGACAGCGATGTGCTTTAAATTGCTTTCCATGATAGCCATCTGCACATGGCAAAATCTTTGTGTGTCCTGGCATACCACCTACAATGAACTATTTCTCAGTTTCACAGTATTTAAAGGCCCAGGGTGAAAATAATCTGATGCAGACCATGTGCATGATTAGTTCTGCTCAGAATTAGTTATCATAGGGAACAACTTAGTGAAGTTTATTGCGAACAGCAGCCTTTCGTTTTCCTATTCTGTGTTACCTCTTGAATTAGACAGATATAAAATTCAAAGTTGGGCAAATGGTCAATACAGAAAGTACTTGGCAAATGCAGAAATCTCCATATTTCTTTTAAAATAATTTCCCTCACATAGCATCAAGTTATTTCCAGTTCAGAATGCCAACTTATTTTTAATTTTGTTAGAAACACCTGTTGGCTTCATGCAATAACAGCTTCATAACCTCCAAGAAACTCATGGCCTTCCATATTTTAATGTTTCAGCATAAAGCAACATTATATTTTGACTTTTTATATTGTCAGCAAAGGCAGATTAATCTTAAATCAGCAGCATGTATGGAAGAAAGAAAGAACTGTATCTACAAATAACACATTCATATACTTTAAATGAAGATACGCTGAAGAGACTTCAGCAAAGGGCAGAAACAATCTGTAAGTATGTATGTATTGACATTATGTTTAATTGAATTAGTTTAATTTTTTAAATTTTATTGTATTAGCTTCCTTGATTGGCCTATTGAGATAGAAAGGAGGGGCATACATCAAATAAGCAAACACTGGCAAAAATTTAAGAATTAATTCAAAATTGGAACTGCAATTAATGTCTTCAGATCCATTTTCCTCATCATTAATTGATTACATTAAGATAATGTAGCCTCTTCTGAAAACTTCAGGGAAGGGAACCATTTAAACCATTTTAGAACTAAAACTACGGATAGAATTGTGGATAGAATCCATTAATTTTTCTTCATCCAATGTTGAAAGAACCAGGCACATTAAAACGTAAGGAAGACAGAAAGATTGATCACTCTACAATTACAAAGGAAGAAGAGCTGACATAACTGTCAAGAATTTTTAAATCTATAGTATGAAACATAAATTTTAACATGACTTTAGGTCTTTAATTGATTCATGTTTGCTATCATATTCAATCTTACTAGTACTCAATCTTGTTAACATGTTCAGTCATGCTATTAAAAGCAAACAAAAAACCCCAAGCAGACAGCCTGTGTTGAAATGATAGTAGACTCAAAAGGGACTTGATTTTCCCCACCAGAGTTCCAAGGTACTGGTGTCAGTAGACCAGATTCATAAAGACAGTACATCAGCCATTTTGGGGTACATCAGCCAGCTAGCCCTGCTGCCAGCTTTCCAGGAAAAGGAAGGTAAGCGCCAGATTGTCTTTGCTAATTACTCACAACTCCTGTGAGCATTATTGATAACAAACTGGTAATGGCCAAAGCCCTAATTTAGGCATCAAGCACAAATCACAAACTCAGGCAGAAGCCCTGGAAGCACCAATCTGGCTCCAGTCAAGAGTTCAAAAGGCAAAAAACACTTTGGGCAAATCCCCTATTGTAATGCCCCAAAGATGTTTTACACAGATATCTCTGCATGCAGACATAATGAGAGGACCTTTGCAGTAGACTCCCTGAAGCACATCTATGCCATGAGTTTACCCGTGGAAAACACCAGAAACCATAAGAGGGACTTCAGAGAGAGCGTAATATCTTCTTCAACCTTTCCCACCCCCTGCAACTGTGCTCTAAAGTAGGTAAGACTATGCATGTATTGGTGTGAGATTTTACTGAAACTTAAAGCTTAGAATTTAAAAGTTGGTATGTGATATCAAATTGCTAATAGCTATATTGCACATTATTCCCTTATTTTATTTTCTTGGAATACTTATGATACTTTTTGTGAAGTTTTCACTAAAAAAGAAGCAAAATTCTTTTGGTTCTCTAATGAACTTTGTCTCGGGACTTTTTTTCTCTATGGGCATCAACCCTCCCATACACTAAAGCAAACAGACATTGTCCCACAGTCAGCTTCTACCCTGAAGCATATCCCTGCCATATGACTTATCCACAGACTATCCTGGTCCTCAGTCATCACTCCAAGTGGGGACTGAGAAGAGGTGCATTGTTACATCTTAATCTGACAGCTGTAGGCAGCACTAGAGCCATGGAAGTCACATTCATACAACTCCTCCCCATTTGGATCGAGCTTTTCATTTCTGTCCAGTCAAGAAACGTATGCTCCACTGAATTCAACTTAATGGGTCTATAATATTCAGATCCCTTTAGGACTTGGGGCAAGAAAAAACTGACAGAGAAAGATTTTATTACTATGTCTAGGATGCAATTCTATAATATATAAAATAAATATTAGAATAAGTTTCCTTAGATAATGAGTCAAATTCTGTTCACAAACAAAACTGGATGGTCAACAGAGGTGTGCACAACACTTAGCAACCTATGTTCACTCAGTAATTTTTAGCTGCTTTCTTCTCCCTTCTCTGTAGAAGCTACCACCCCAATTTAACATGAAAAGGATGTCCCCTTTACTGTAATTATTGTAATATACTGTAATATTATTGGATACAGTCATTTCATCCAAGAAATACACTTCAATTTTTGAATGCTGCTTATTTATTATTTAAGTACTGAAGTTCCAATTCTTTTATAAAAGTCATCCAGACATATTCTGAAGATGCCAAGGATGTATGCATGTTTAAAATAAAAAGGGGGCTTATCCAGGTTTTAGGGTCATGCAATTCATTCCAAAGGGATGTTTCTTTTTACAGTTCCTTCTAGCTCAGTATTGAGTTTTGAGCAGTGGGCAGTAATATAAAGGTGAAAATCCCTATGTCTATACTTTAACTCCTAGCATTTAAAAATATTTATCTAACGTGGCCCATAGCTGTTCAAAAAACTATCCTCCATAAATTTTAATGGAAATTAAAGTGATCAGTATAAAGGTTTTCACAATGTTTAGGAAAAGCAAATTCCCAGTTGTGCATTATTTAAAGAAATTTTTTTGCTCCTGAACTGTATTTTAATTAATGTACTTCAGTGACTGCAGAGGTAGTATGAAAAAAGGACAAACTCTTTTAAAAAATCTTAACTTTCCTTTATTAAAATCATAATGATTTTAATTAATGCATAAGGTATTTGGAGTCAGTTAAGATATACCTTCCGCTGCTTAATTTTCATATGCAATGAAGGCACAGGTCTCAGATTAAGATAATTCCCCTTTGCCCTTCCTCTCATGTCATTCTCACCATCTATGCTTGGTGAATATGTGGGAAAAAAGATTAGATCTTAGGTCTAGATCAGAGCCCCCCTCCTAGCAAGTGGAGGCTGCTGCTCATAGAAGAATTGAGAGAGGCAATTTTATTCTAATACCTCCTTCCTTTGTAGCCACCTACATTATTTCCTAATAGGGCTGTGTAGAGCATTAAAAAAAAAGTGTGATTCACAAATCACATTACTGTGAGTGAAGCTTCTCTCCTGAAAATGATTGAAAGCCAGTGTGGTGTAGTGGTTAAGGTGTCGGACTAGGAATAGAGGTACCCAGGTTCTAATTTAACCTCATCCCTGGAAGCTCACTAGGTGATTTTGGGCCAGCCACTAGTTCAACCTAGAGGCAAACATCAAAAAAATAACCTTGCACCTCTTCCTTAAATAGGAAGTAATACACACAACTATTTGTTATTTATTTGTTATATTTATATCCCATCTTTCTTCTAGAAACTCCAGATGCTCAGTTCACAACACTCTTACAAGACCTTTAGCTTTAACATCTGACCTTAAACCATGCTTTCATTTTCACTAAATACAAGATGTGTTTAGAGTAGAATTATAAAGATTAGTAATAATAGTATCAGTATCTGAACAGACTGGTAGAGAATGTCATATTGACAAACACTATGGAAACATTTTTGGGCAGTCTTTTGACACCACTCTTAGAGCCTTATCCTTTATAAATGGAAATGCTTTGAATATTTAAAAAGAAATGGCTAGTTTTAAACACCATTTTATACTTATGTGGAAGTAAGATATTTTTTCAGTTACATCTGAAAGATACTTCTTCAAGTACATTACAATACTGTAGATGGTTTATGCAGGCCAGGTCCTCAGGAACATTTAAATCTGTCACTTAAGGAATTAATCTTAGAAGACTTATCTATCAACTAATTTTAGAATATTTTCTCTTTACCATATTATTTAAACTTCATTGACACTAGGAGTACACTAAACAAGAATAATTCATCATTAAAAATATTTAAAATAAAAACCCTCTTCCTTTGCCCCAAACGAAAGAAAAATACTGTTTTATTCCCCCAAAGAATTATGCCATTTTTAAAGAAAACTAGAGTTGCCACAAATTGCACTCAACAATTCCAAGGCTTCTTCATTTGACCACTTGAAAATCAAACTTCTCTAAGATTATAAATATAGCTTCTTAAAACTTTGTTATTACATACTGTGTAAGGGGAAAGGGGCCCAATCTTGTGGCCATAGCGTCGAATGGCCTCTCTGATGTGGGCAGGCTGGATGGCATCGCTCTGGGCCTCTGCACCACAAGCTGCAGTGCTCTGCAACAACAACAACAAAAAAGCACATTCATTGTGACTAAATCAAAAACACACAACAAGCACACACTGTGAATTAATTAAGAAAATTGACCTTTATAAGGTTGACTTATTTCTTTTCTTTTGAAGAGACAATTGTTGTCACACAGTTCATATTGAAATAAAACCCAAACATCCATGAACAGAATCAAAGAGGAAATTTATCCTAGAAGATAAAGTTTACTTATACAGCACATGGAGAACAGGAACAAGAATAGTATTTTCTTTGTGTTTGGGGTTACTTTTGAAGCAAGCAACTTCTTCTGTCCACAGAGGCTAAATCCATAGAACTCAGAGGAACCTCTGTGTGCCAACAGTTTGGGCTCAGAGTGGGATCACCAGGTTTACTGCTTCTGATGATACTAAGAGCCTGGCTTTTTCTTTATGTCAGGAAAGTGAATGCATTCATTGTTTGGTATCATTAACCCTAGCAACATTCTTCTAATTTTCCTAAAGGGTAGAGTCTTTTTTTTTCCTAACTGCAATTTTGTAAAAATTGTAGTTCTGAAGCTTTCTTAGTAAATCAAGTGATACCAGTGCTTCAGATTTTATTTGACAAAGAAAAGACTGCCAGCTCTGATTTTGCCACATTACTCAGATTATGTGATGTCTGTAGATTTGTACACTTTCAATTATTGCTGAAATGCCCAATGTGTGTTGAGAAAATCGATCTCTTCTGATACTCTGATAGGGATTCCCAGCTAAATGATATCTCAATTTATCCTGTGCTTGCAAATGTCCATATTGCTCCCCGCTCCCATGACAAAAGCATGTGTGTGTGTGATGCAGCATTAGGTACCTGCGGTGCCAAGCTAACAGAAGGCTTTGTTGTGCAATGTTTACTATCCCACACAGACTACTTATCTATGATTCTGGGATTTACATAGTATTTTATTTTCAAGCAGCATTTTGTCAGGCTAGAAATTATGATACATAATTTCTAACAACCCAAAACTTATTTTCTTATGTTATCTTATTTATCTCATTTATTTATCCATTTATTTTGTTATTATTTTAAATCACAATTGTTAAATTAGTATTATACATAGGAACCCTTCTTTTGAATGATAAAATAACAATCAATGTTACTACTAGTACCACTTCTTGCAGATGAGGAGCTTCTGAACAATTACTATTGATCCTAAGGTTCATTTATTTAATTCTTCATTTAAGGCCTTCAGACCCTTTCCAAAATAATCTAATATAACAAGGAAGAGTAGTTTAAAACTTCATTAAAATCCAATCTCAAACATTTGAACAACTAAAAAAGTTTTTTAATGGATTTGGGGGGGAAAAATCCTGTCCGAGATGAATCTTCATGGGAAAATCACTCCAAAACTGCACCACAATAAGGAAACTGATCTTGCTGAAGCACAGTCATAAGATTCATCTAAAATGGCTGTCAGACCTCATATAAACAAATCATAATTTCCAAAGCATCTTAGATTTCCATATGCATTCCATTCCAATTTCCACTTGGCAGCACACATTTGGCAGCACAAAAATGAAACATGTGCTGGGGATTAATTGATTGATTGATTTATATTTAATCAAATGCCAACAACTTTGGGTGGCTTACAAAAGGTTAAAAACAGTAAAAACTCAAACATTAAAAGACAACCAAGCTAAGGAGGAAAAGCAAAATTCTATATACTACACTTTCCACAGTGATTATCTGGGCCTCACACCATCCTACTCTATCTATGCCTTAGTTTGATAGCTTTTATTTATTTGATTCATATTCTACCTTTCAGTTCAGACTGGATTCCCAAAGTAACTTAAAACAATCACACAAAAAGACACAAGATAGAAATGATTATATTTCAGTAAAACAGGAATATGTAGCTACTTGGATCCACAGCAGAAATGTGCTTCAGAGGGGGCACAGGTGTGCTTCTGTACCTGTCAATGCCTCCTTAAAGAAGGCAGAAATTGAGGGCAAGGCAGTGTATTGTATAGCTTGGTAGTGATGCTGCAGAAGCATCTGATAAGCAGGTCATCTTCAGAAGGACTTCTTTAGATCTTATGGCTCAAACAGATCCTTAACAGTTATTTCCAAGCATCACCCTGGGAGTTCGACGAGATGGTCTACAAGCTCCTTCAACACTGTGTTTATTAGATGTCACCTGACACTTAAGCATCTTGAAAGCCCTGCACACCTCACATACACTGCACAGGTAAGATAAACTTTCCCACAGTACAGAATACAATTCTGGAGGAGCTGAAATATTTGATTCTCTCCACTGCCAGCTTTAACCTACTTTTTTCCTCTTTCGCTGTTTGACTTTGGAAGTATCTTGTCCAGTGCTGCCATTCCCCACGGTCCCAGACTGAATTTTCCCAAGGTATTGTGGGCCCGTCGATGGGAGAGTGGGTGTTGGTGGTGGAGTATTATCAGGAGAGTCTGGATTGCTCTTCATACTTGCAGGCGGCCCTAAAACATGCATCTAAAAAAGACAAAATTATTCCTTTGCCTCTTGTTGTCTGAGTACGTATACCAGTCAGTTCCATGATTTAGTGGTAGAAGAAGAACACGGTCAGAAATTGGGGCATTCCAACTATTACAGTGTTCTTTCTGAAGCTATTGCCCTCAACAACAACCCCCCCAAAGACTGGGAGGTCTGGGGGACCATTTGATAATATGATAATAGGATTATACTTGTTTAAGTTTTGTCACTGGACCTAAATTTATTTTAAAATATACCCCAAATTGTGGAATTTGAATCAAAATCCTTCTGGTGGAAGTCTAATAATACCCACTATATACAATGGTATTCCATAAGATATACTTTCAGAAGATGTTTGTTGTCCTTCCCACCAGAAAAAGGGCTTCCGTTTCTAACATAAAATGGCAGCCATAAGTAGATGTAGACATGGATGGACTCTAGTTGGTTACTGCACTATAGCAAATAATAATAAAATAATAACAACAAGAACAATAATAATTTTAAAAGAAGGCTATAGTTTGATCTTTCTTCTCAGTCTATTGCAAGGAAGGAGGCCCAAGAGATTCCTTAGCAACAGAGTAAGTGTCAGCTCTTCCAGATATATCGGATTAGGAAACCAGAGTTACGAATACTAATACTAACTTTTATTATAAGGTTACAGTAACAGAATCTTGCAGATCTGAATGTGCTTCCCCCCTCCCTCCCTTTATCTACTTGAGAACTAGGGAGGGTCATGTCTAAGATGCCTTTTCAGGTTACATTTCTGCCCTGGACTCAGAATTCTTTTACCTGACTGGTGTCTTGGTTGCAGTTCTTCCTTCTGTTCCTCAAGGTTATTTCTACTTCCCTTTATAGTAGGTATGGGCCCCATATAGCTCTGACACTTCTCATTTGGACCTCACAAATCTTCAGATATTTTTTGTATTTGGGGGCTTGAAGAATAATTAAGGGGAAAATTGGCTTTACAGAGACTGAAAGGCACCTAATGCACCCCTTCAGTATTCCCAAATATGCTTCCCATTTGGCGCCAGTTTTAAGGGGTCAAATGAGAGCATGCTTCAAGCAAAACCTCAATCCTTCCTCCTAACCTCCCCTCCCCAGTGTGTCTGAATGTTTCCCTTCTGATGAATCACAACATCACCAGTCACATCCCCTATGGCTTTAGGCAGGGCAAAAGGTCCTAGGGCACCCCAGGAGGAAAAATGCCCACCTCTGCAAATGAACTGTTGAATAAATGTTTTAGCGTATATAGTTAATTCCTCCTTATAGGCTCACTTGTATGGAGAAAGGTGTGGTGGGATCCCTTTCAGGAAGAGTGATTTAGAGACCTTCCTGAATAGGAATAATAATTCCTATTATTGAAATGTAAGTCCTTGTAATGACACATCTACTAAATCAATAAACTAAAAACATTAAGGTCATATTTACCTCAGAATTGTGATGTTGAATAAAAGTAGCAGATATTGCGTGACTAAAGGGATCACCAGCTTTCGGTACCATGTCCTGCTTGACCAAAAGGGCCAGGTCCACCAGCTAAGGAAAAATGGCAATAAAAAATGAAAAGATGGAAATATTAATTTGATTGGCTATTAGTATAGGTTGCACTGAAAAAAAGAGAAAAGCCTTTAACATTTTGATATCAGTTTAGTCCTGGAAATATTAGAGGCATGTGTTTTTTGTATTAGAGTATTAGAGGCATGTGTTTTTTGCCTTTCTATGAGGATAGTAAGTTTACATATTAATTTGCAATATGGACATACAAAATGTTCTATGCACACACCATCCTGTGTATGGAACAGCCAGTTTGGGGTAATCCACAACTAGACTAAAACATGCGTAGGCCTGAAACAAGCATGTTTTCAGCAGAAGTATTTCAGGGTTGGAGGAACAGGAGAAAAGCAAGGCTACACAGCTAAGTGGAGGTAAGGCATTGTGAAGATCAGCAGGAGGGATGGGCAAGCTGGTTGGCTATTCTATCCTTCCTTGAACTGAAGGGTGATGGCAGTGGCATGGGGAGGTGGGGAAACAAAAGTGTGGGGAAGATCTGGGAAGAGGTGGCCAGGCTGACTGAGTACACTGTGGCTGCTGTGCACGATTGGCCTCAAACTGAAATGTAATTGAATGGCATCTTCTCCTAAAATCATCTGAAATATAAACATATTTCCATGTACCTGTGCTACTGTCTCATATGCTAAATAAGCCAGCATTTCCATAGCAATTGCATTTGGTTTTATTTCCATGCTACTGCAGTCCAACCAGTCTCGAAACTTGGAGGCTTTCTTGGCTGTTTTGAAAAAAACATAAAAGAGTATTAACCACGCATCTTCTGCTTCCCATTGTTTCTTATGAAGAGTAAGAGCTTGAAACCTCTGATGTAAGTAACAGAATCCAGCATTCAGGATTCTGAAATCATTGGCTAAGATACAGTAAGGGAGCCAATATTGTACACTAATGAAACAATGAAATCCAGCCTCAATCTGCAAGAATCTCCTCAGCTCACATATATAGAATATGAAGATAATAAAAGTGATCACTCTTACAGCTCCTGGACGGATGACTGAAATAGAGTATTTTGAGTGTTGTTTGTATGTTTTACAGTAATTAGCTAATTAGGCATGTCTCTTCGTATACAAGTTTGTAAAATCCCAAGTAATGGACACATGTGTACTATGCATGCTGTAAAAATATACAATACTGTTTCTTCACCCCAATTCCATGGTCTTCCCAGTATTACCAGATATGTTGCAATCTGTTTTTTTGCTTGCCTATTCAGATTCAGAGGTAAATGTATATCTCTGTAGTTTTATCTATTTATTAAAAATGTATATTCTGCAATTTCATATTAAATGGTTTCAGAACAGACTAAGGGGTACATAATCAACATAAATCAGCTGGAGTTGGTGACCTTACATTGATAAAGTGAAGAAGCTGGGCATTGCACAGGATTTTTATTTTTAACTGTTTCTCCCTATTGTTCTTTTCTGGGGGGAAGGGGGGATTACATTCAGAGTCACTGTCCTTTTGGATGAATGGATAACAACATTAAAGGAAATGAAAACTTATGTACACTTTAAAAATATTTTTTAATATGTCTCTTTTCTTTTTATTTTTTAAAAAGGTCGGTCTGGCATGTGGAAAACAGAACCGTCAT